GAGGAGGAGCAGGAGGAGGAGGAGTAGGAGGAGAAGGATGGGGAGCAGGAGGAGAAGGAGGGGGAGCAGGAGAAGGAGGAGGAGGAGGAGGAGGAGGAGGAGGAGGAGGAGGAGGAGGAGGAGGGGGAGGAGAAGGAGGGAAAGGAGTCCCTCGAACCCGAGTCTTGCGTCTCCCCGCTCGTCGGCGGGGGCCCGCCGCGTCGCCCCCGCCGCAGCTCTTCGCCGACATGGCCAGGGCCAACCAGCTGGGGCCCGCGTGGTCGGGCCCCGGGCCCTGGTGCGGCACCAACGAGCAGGCCTGCCTGGAGAGCTGGCAGAGCTGGAAGAAGCGCAGGAGCCCTCGGGGGGGAGGGCTCGGGGGCAGGAGCATGACCGTGATACTTGAGACAGGAAGAGGCACCCCTATCTCTACTCACTACCCTTCGCCCGTTTTCCCCCTTTTGGGCCTCCTCGGAGGTCCTCGATGCCACCGCTGGATTCGCCCCGAAATTCCTGTCAGAACGCACCCAGGGAGAGGTCTGTGGAGTAGCGGTATCGGTACCTGTTGGTTTCCCCAGATACTATGTTTGCCACCGTCACCGCGCTCAGTTTAGTGGGCATTCTCCAGGGCACGTTCGCGAGCGTGAGGCGGTCAGCAGTCTGAGCGCACAACGCTTCGGGCGACGGCTCGTATACCTTACGCAAGTGTCCACGTATATGTTCGGTTTCCAGGTCTCCCCCCCTCCTGGCGTCCCAGATGGCGTCCGAGTGTCCGGGGTCAGAGGATCCCGCCGCATCGCCGATGCACCAGCTGCGGGTCGTCGGAGCAGCCCGGGATTCGCCGCGCCGGCGGCGTCGTTGCATCACCAACGTCGCCGGCTCATCGCCGATGCATCGGCGATGCATTTGCGATGCATCGACGATGCGGTGCGATTCTCCGACTACATGTACCAGGATCCCTTGATAGAGTCGGAAGCTGGGCGATGGCTGGCAAATCCGTGGCTGCTAAAGCGGCTTTCCCGAAAGAGAAACAATACCGGAAGAAACTCAGCGCACGAACTAGTAAACGGGCTGCTTCCCGGAAGGAGGAACAACAATTTCTCGGAGTTCTGTTTTAGCAGCTACGGGTTTGCTAGCCTTCGCCCGGCTCTGACCGAGGTTTCCAGGGGCCTCCCCCAACCATGCCGTGCAGGACAGGGCCGCAAGGGTCCAGAGGACAGGTCACGTCCCAGATCCGAAAGGAAAGAGGGTGGGAATGTGTATCCACCCACTCCTCCTCTTCCTCTGCCGCCTCCTCCCTCACATGCTCTGTCTCCACCGCGTCGTCGTCGCTCAAGCAGTTCTGGCGCAAGGCGGCTCACTTTTGCAGCCTCAGTGACGCAGTTTCCGTTTGCAGACCTGCGCAGCTGAGCGGGGTGATTTCTCCCATGGCGGGGTCGGAGGATCGCGCCGCATCGCTGGTGCATCGGCGATTCGGCTCGATGCGGAAACCGATTTTCTCAACGCTGGCGTCGCCGATGCACCGCCGACGTGTGGCCGATGCGGCGCGATCCTCCGACCCCATCTACTCGGACCACATTCATGAGGCCTCTACCTCACACCCACTGTCCTCCCTTCTCCCCGTCGTCGTCATTCCTGGCGCTCGGACCTCACCCTCTAGCTCCTCGATTCCCCTCCTCCCTCAGTCACTCCTTTTCTCCCTCCCTCCTTCCTCCCTCCCGTTCCTGCCGTCCCGAGTTGGTGTCGACCCAAACGCGCTCAAAACCGATCGCCTGATCCCTCCGTGGTCCGTCCAGGCCAGTTTTGCACCCCAGGCCGGCTTCTGACGGCCCCGAGGCCCGAAACTTGCCAACCGAGGATAGGCGGCCATCGGCCGCGATTTGCCTGTCCAGCTCTCTCCCCCCCGCTCCCTGCCTCTTCTCGGTCTGCCGCAACACATGCGCCAGCGTTGGACTGGGCCAGGCCCACCCTGGGTTTGCGTAGTGGGGGGCGGTGCAAATGGAGGGGGGGAGAAAAAGGTGCACATTTTGTACCCTAAAGGGCCCCCCCATTCCAGGAGCCCCTTGGGCCCAAGAGAGGCACGACAGGTGCACGTGCCCCCCTCCCACCCGTCCCGTTTTTTATCGCCCCCTTATGATGAAGCAACGCCCAAGCCCACCCTGGGCGCGAGTTCGATGCACATGCCACGCTGGCCAAGGCCAGGAGGTCAGGTGTTCGATCATTGGCCCTCTGCAGAGCGCGGTCGCCCGGCTTCCGCGCCGAAGGCCACGAGAAATTGCCGAGGCCCGCCGCAGGCTGCCGAGGACGGTCAGGAGACCTCCGAAAGGTAGCAATGGGTTTGTGGATGGCAGGAGGCTTCTACTGCTACTACTACTACTACTACTGCGACTACTACTACTACTACGACTACGACTACGGCTACGACTACGACTACGACTACGACTACTACTACTACTACTACTACTACTACTACTACTACTACTACTACTACTACTACTACTACGACTACTACGACGACTAC